AATTTGCCAGGCGATGTTGACACGTGATGAAGGCATGAATGGGACTTTCTTTTCATCAATTGTGACAATGGATGTCGTTTTTCAATTCTGAAACGAAGTGCCAGTCAGCTCAATGGAAGCACACAGACTTACCGCCATCAAAAAAATTTTGGGTAAGTGCCAGTGCTGAAAAAATGATGGTGGCCATGTTTTCAGACAGCGATGGGATAATCCTTACTCAATGCATTCCAAAGGGTACTTCGGTGACAGGTGCATTCTACCATGGTGTTCTGAAGAACAAGATCCTTCCAGCACTGCGAGAAAAACGGCCGGAAAAGGCTGCACGTGTGCTCTTTTACCAGGACAATACACCAACGCATCGGGTGTACGTGAAGCAGCAGTTTCTTTGTGAAAGCAACCTTGCAGTGGTTTCTCATGCTCCCTACTCATCTGACCTGGCTCCTAGCGATTTTTGGCTTTTCCCAACGATGAGAGACACTCTCCGTGGTTGCACATTCACCAGTCGTGCCACTATTGCATCAGTGATTTTCCAGTGGTCAAAACAGACTCCTACAGAAGCATTCGGAGCGGCCATGGAATCATGGCGTCGACGTTGTGAAAAATGTATATGGCTGCAGGGAGATCACATTGAAAAGTGACAGAAGTTTCAAATTTTTTGTATGATTATTGTGTGAGAAAATATCGGAGACCTTAGAACTTGAACGCACCACGTATTTTTTAAAACATGTTTCAGAGACTAGATTCTGTCTCCATCTTCAGGTAAAACCTACTCAGTTGGATAATGCCCAAAAATATAATATTTGTACTAATGTACCATCACCACAAACTTCTAGATCTTATATACAAAACTAAAATTAAATTAAATTAAATTAAATTAACCTGAAAACACGTCTGGATTAGCAGAAGATACAGAAAGATACATACTAACTTTCAAGTAAAAGTACAAATGTTTGCTGGTAAAAAGTGTAACTATTGTCAAAATCTGGTTTAAACAAGAGGTACATGTAATAGGTCACCATACAGTACCGACATAATAAAATCATGAGTTAGCATGGAACGAAGACTAATAGATATTCTACAGTCCAACTCTGTCACAACACTGCTTAAAAAAATATGAATCAGATGGGACACAGCTTACTACAGAATGATTTATAAATGTTTTAAAAAGATACCTCAGGAAATGAAATGAATGTCACCACCATCCACATGAGGTATCAACATAAAATTTACAGAGATCTTACTCAGACCTCATATACCCATATATAAATCAATCCAGTCACTTCTTCCCACAAATATTATTGGCCTCTAATAGAAGGGCAGTGCAAAAGCAAAGATGTTACCTTGTATACTGTGTATAACTTAAAAATGATCTACTCACTACTCTACACTTATCACCAAATTCAAACTATCTGTCCTCCCATTCAACCCAGACTGGAATGATTTTGAAGAAAATGCCAAATTTTATGACATTAGATACAAAAGTTCAGTGTGAAACTGACCACACACCTCCAAACAGTTATGAGATCAAGAAAACGTGGATCTATGCATTCACTTCTCCATACACCTTCATGGCATATTTCTTAATTAGCTAAAGCATAGGGATAAATTTACCTTTTATAGGGTGGTATCAAATAAGCTCACAGGTCACATGTCACACAAAATGTTTACATACTTCTAATCTGTTACATGTGTCTAGCTACAATTGTCATCAAATTTAATTCAAGTGATCACCATCTTATTCCACTTACCCCATCAGTCACTTCAAATGACAACTGCACATATTTAAGAGGTGTGATATGATACAACCTTCAGGGTCCTACTGGTGCTACCAATGCTCCCACCCCAAATATTTACAGTCATCATGCTTGAATCATAAGGTAAGGAACTTAAAAGCATGATCTTGGGAACATATCTAACAGCACTATTTTCTTATTGAAAGTGAGAGTAAATACACATCACATACTGCTCAACTTAGGTTGAAAACTTCTAAGAAAAAATTAGTTACTGGAACTTATATTCTAGATGAGAAGCTCACCTTGATGGTTTCAGACATTGAAAATTCAAAACACACCTCATTTCTCCAAAAGATGGTGTTTTCTGGATTAAGTGCAAATGTTTCCAGGTGACTTCTATCCTACACTACTGCTTCATTATTAGGTTGATTTTGTTGTTAGGTAAGGTTAGATTACAAGAAATCTCACCACAATATGCAATTCTAAACATACGCAGTTTTTGCAGCCACATTAACTGCAAAGGTTACAGTATCATATCAATCACTCACTCACTCATGGAACTGAGCTATTCTTGAGATGAGGCCAATTGTGCAGCTACCCCAGAAGAAACCGAAGGTTCATTACTGTGTTCACAAGAGCCACATCAATCCAGTCCACAACACCCCATCCTAACTCTGTAAGATCCATTTCAATATTGTTCACCCACCT